CCTAAACCCTAAACCCTAAACCCTACACCCTAAACCCTAAACCCTAAACCCTAAACCCCACACTCTGCCTGAACCACAAACCACGAAAACCCTCGAAAACGACAACCTTGACCAGGGCTCTCGCTTGCCATGCTCGCCCTGCGCGGCAAGAGCCTTGGCCTCCAGCAAGAGTTGTGTGGGGGTTAGGGTATAGGGTTTAGGGTCTAGGGTTTAAGGATTAGGGTTTGATTTAGGGGTTTAGGGTTTAGGGTTTAGGGTTTAGGGTTTAGGGTTTAGGGTTTAGGGTTTAGGGTTTAGGGTTTACGGTTTACGATTTAGGGCGGGGGGGGCGAGGCCGGAAACCATTTCTTGCATATTGGGGCTCTGGGGCCTGGGGGGTTTTTGGGGAACGTAAACCTGAGGCCCTAAGAGAGTGTCATCCGAGCGTAGTTACATGGTCCCTTGGCGGACCCCTTACATACCCTTTATATATCCTATACAAGTAAAGGGACCATACATCAGAACCCTTTCAGGGAGGTAAGGGACCACATTAAGGGCCCATGAAACTACCCTTAGATGTCAGAAAGGGTTTGGCAACTAGGGCGGATGTTTTTGGTTTGATAGGGCTGCCTAAACGGACAAAAGTGGAAGAATCGGGGGCACCACTGAAGGTTCAGAACAGGGTTTTTGGGTTCTGTGCTTGGGGCTTATAAAGTTTAGGGTTTAGGGCTTCGGGTGTACGGGCTAGGGTTCAAAGGGCTGAGGGTTGAGGTTTGGGGCTTTGGGGCTTTGGGGCTTTGGGGCTTTGGGGCTTTGGGGCTTTGGGGCTTTGGGGCTTTGGGGCTTTGGGGCTTTGGGCTTGGAGTTAGGGGGTTGAACTTGTAGCGGTTGGGGTTTATATAGGGTTTTGGGTTTTGGGTTTATAGAAATTGTATAGGGTTCAGGTCCGGAGTTTTGAGCGAAAGTTTCCGGCGAAAGTTTTGAACGAGTTTTTGTTTTGCTCTTTTTTTGCGCGAGTTTGACGAAAGTTCTGCGGAGTGTTGTCGGGTTTTGTTTTTTGCTTTTGTCATTTTGATTTTGGGGCCTAAAACCCTAAACCCTAAACCCTAACAACCTTAGCCCCTACCCTAGAACCCTAGCACCCGGGAGCCCGTCTCAGTACCGGACAGCAGCACCCCTCACTTTGCCAGAGTTGTCGCTGACCAGAAGATTCGCCACCTGGAGGGGTTCAAGGGCTTAGGGGTTTAAGGGTTTAGTTTAGGGGGTTAGGTGGGGTTTAGGGTTTGGGGTTGATTTAGGGGGTGAGGGTTTAACGGTTTAGGGGTAAACCTTGAAGCCTACGGTTGTAGTATATAGGGTTTAGGGGGTTAGAGGTTTGGGGTTTAGGTTTAGGGTTGAGGGTTTAGGGTAGGGTTTAAGGAGGGTCCGACGGGCTGACGAAACCCTGAGCCAGGAGTCGGGCTTTGGGGTTGTAGGTGCGTAGTGGGGGGCTCGAAGGGTTTTAGGGGTCTGGGGTTGAACAGACTGGGTATTTGGGGCTTGGGGGTTTTAGGATGTAAGGTTTAAGGGTTCGGCCTATGGGGATTCGGGGTTAGGGTTTAGGGCTTAGGGGGTTTTCATCACCAAACCCTCCTCGTACACCCAGAGGGTGGAGTTCGAGTCTCGTGCTTTCAAAGAGCCAAAGGTGATCAACACAACGTCGTCGTCCTCCAGCTCTATATCCGCATGCCGGCCGGTAAATGTGACGTCCAGCTGGGCGCCCGTGCTGTCCGTCAAGGTGACGGAAAGCAATGGCGGGCTGCGGTCCGGCTAGGGGTTAGGGTTTAGGGTTTGGAGTTCCGGGTTCCGGGTTTGGGGTTTAGGGTTTAGGGTTTAGGGTTCAGGGTTCAGGGCTCAGGGTTCAGGGTTCAGGGTTCAGGGTGGTTCAGGGTTCAGGGTTCAGGGTTTGGGGTTTATGGGTTATGGGTTTAGGGTTTAGGGTTTGGGGTTTAGGGTTTGGGGTTTAGGGTTTAGGGTTTAGGGTTTACGGTTTACGGGTTTAGGGTTCCCGTTACCTCTGTTGCCTGCACAAGCTGCATACGCCCATCGATTTATGACCAACTTGGTTTTGAAACCCCGCTGCCTTCAGGGGTTTAGGAATTTAGGGTTTAGGGTTTACAACAGCCTAAAACATTGGGGCTTGGGGTTTAAGGCCAACAGGCCCTTAAGGGCCTTCAGGGCACTTAAATCCCACCAGCTCGTGAACCCTGAAACCTCTGCCCAAACGGTTTAGGGTTTAGGGTTTAGGGTCTAGGGTTTAGGGTTTAGGGTTTAGGGTTTAGGGTTTAGGGTTTAGGGTTTAGGGTTTAGGGTTTAGGGTTTAGGGCTTAGGGTCTAGAATTTTACAGGGGCTCAGCAACTGCGAAGTGACGGGCCGTAGCGCCTCGTAGGCGTAGGTAGCAGCCGCGTCGCCGAGCATGCCCAAGGCGCGGACTGCCTTGAGATCCCGGCGCTTGAAGCGTAAATGGGGGCTTCCGAAATATATATATATATATATATATATATATATATATGGGGGTTTGGGTTTAGGGTTTAGGGTTTAGGGTTTAGGGCTTAGGGCTTAGGGTTTAGCGGTACCTTATTGGGGTCCTTACTTATTTTCATAAACCCCCAAATCGGTTCTTCGCAGGGAATGAGGGTACCTTATATCCCCTAGATATACCCCAAACCCGAGACCCGAAGACCTAAGCCCTGAACCCTAAACCCTAAACCCTAAACCCTGAACCCTGAACCCTAAACCCTAAACCCCGAACCAAGCCTGGCCCGGGAGTTGAGATTCAAGGCTTCCGAATGTCGGGCTTGCAGATGTGGGATCTAGGCCTCGAGGCCTTGAAGCCTTGTAGGGTTTAGGGTTTAAGGTTTAGGGTTTAGGGTTTAGGGTTTAGGGTTTGGGGTTTGGGGTTTGGGGTTTGGGGTTTGGGGTTTGGGGTTTGGGGTTTGGGGTTTGGGGTTTGGGGTTTGGGGTTTGGGGTTTGGGGCTTGGGGCTTCGGGTTTAGGGTTTAGGGGTGGGAACCTTGAAGCCTTCAGGTGTTGCCTCTCCACCACCGGCACTGGCTTGAGTTCATGGGTATTATAACCCCTTATGTACCTTATAGTCCCTGCATACCTAAGAAGTCTCTAAGATCCCTTCTAAGGGTCCCTCCTGTAGTCTCTTGATTGAGAGAATAGCCAGGTGGCTTAGGGTGGGATGTGGTTTTAGGACTTGACACGGGAATCGCCTTTCATTCGAGTGTAGGGTTTAATGAGGGTCCAGGGTAATGTGATCAAGTAGAGCTTCAAAAGCGCACAAAACCCTAAACCCTAAACCCTAAACCCTAAACCGTAAGCTCTAAACCCTAAACCCTAAACCCTAAACCCTAAACCCTAAACCCTAAACCCTAAACCCTAAACCCTAAACCCTAAACCCTAAACCCTAAACCCTAAACCCTAAACCCTAAACCCTAAACCCTAAACCCTAAACCCTAAACAAAACCAAAAAAGAAAACTGAACTGCAAAGAACAAATTCAGGGAAGCCAGCAACTCCATAAGGCATCCCAGAGGGGCAGAGCTTGAGGTTTAGGGTTTAGGGCGTGGGTTTAGGAGCTTCAGGAGGGTGTGGGTTTAGGGTTTAGGGTTTAGGGTTTAGGGTTTAGGGTTTAGGGTTTAGGGTTTAGGGTTTAGGGTTTAGGGTTTAGGGTTTAGGGTTTAAGGTTTCGGGTTTAGGGTTTAGGGTTTAGGGTTTAGGGTTTAGGGTTTAGGGTTTAGGGCTTAGGGCTTGGGGCTTGGGGTTTGGGGTTTCGGGGTTTGGGTTTAGGGCGGGAAATAGAGGATTTGGTAGGTCCTTACTAGAGACAAAAAGCCCGCCCCCGAACCCTAAACTCCAAAACAGCTGACCCCTCGAAAACAAAACCAGCCGCTGTAACCCCAAACCCCTTCAGGACCCTGTGAGGACTTGAGGCCGAAACCCTAAAAGCCTGAACCCTAAACCCTAAACCCTGAACCCTAAACCCCAAACCCTAAACCCTGAACCCGAAACCCTAAACCCCAAACCCTAAACCCCCGAAACTTCCCTAAGCTCCCTCAACCCTAAACCTTAAACCCTCCCGTCTGGACCCTGTGAGCTGATGTCCTAAACCCTAAACCCTGAACCCTAAACCCGAAACCCTAGACCCCAAACCCTAGACCCTAAACCCCAAACCCTAAACCCGAAACCCCAAACCCTAAACCCCAAACCCTAAACCATAAACCCTAAAGCCAAAGGGCCTCGAAGCGAACCGCCTGTCCAGCACAGCTCAGCAACTTCTGGGGCACCACAAAGTTTAGGGTTTAGGGTTTAGGGTTTAGGGTTTAGGGTTTAGGGTTTAGGGTTTAGGGTTTAGGGTTTAGGGTTTAGGGTTTAGGGTTTAGGGTTTAGGGGTTTAGGGGTTTAGGGGTTTAGGGGTTTAGGGGTTTAGGGGGTTAGGGGTTTAGGGGTTTAGGGGTTTAGGGGTTTAGGGGTTTAGGGGTTTAGGGGTTTAGGGGTTTAGGGGTTTAGGGGTTTAGGGGTTTAGGGGTTTAGGGGTTTAGGGGTTTAGGGGTTTAGGGGTTTAGGGGTTTAGGGGTTTGGGGGTTTGGGGGTTTGTGGCATGGACCTTTATGTATTATGTGGCGTTCTCTTTTGCTTTATATTTAAAAACGGGTTGAGGGTTTAGGGTTTAGCGTTGAGGGTTTAGGGTTTAAGGTTTAGGGCTTAGGGTTCAGAGTTGCACAGACGGGCGAAGGTCTAGGGTTTAGCGTTTAGGGCTTAGAGAGTTCGGAGTTGCACTTACGAACTACCCGGAAAACTCAGTGTACATTTTTAACTGGCACTGCTGAAAGTTGCTGCGTTTCTGCAGATTTAAGGCACTGACAAAGACAGCACACCATCTTACGGCACTCTATGTCTGCGGCACTTTATGCGTTTAACGTTTGGACGATGCCGCAAATCTGATGCCTTTATAGCTGGAAAAAAAGACTACAGAACTACAGAAGCGCCGCGATCAGGGAACCAGGCGGGCAGTTGACCTCGTGCCAATGTTATCTTTGCAGCTTTATAGTACAACTGCAATAATTTTCACGATTGCTTATTTAGAGTTTCCGAAAATAGGGGTGATTTTTAATATATACCTCCTAAATATTATGATTCTGTTTTGAGAGGACTTCGAAAATGTACCCCTGTTTTCGGAAACTCGGGCTTCACTTGTGTCAGTGAGTCTGAGCAGACTGCTTCGCTCAGCTCTTCGCTGGCCTCGCTCGAGCCACATCACTGACTGTCCATACGGGTTCATGTCGGAGTTTCCGAAAAAAAGGGTACATCCCATAAAGACCCCCCCCTAAATGATAAGCTTTCACTATAATAATGCTAAACTTCAAGTCGCTCTTTTTCCTTGAACCGGTAAAGGCGCTGTCGGTAAAACATGAGTCACAAATCCACACATGCTCATCAACCCTTTGGGTTGGTAGGTGGGGTTCCCAGGTAGTAGAAAAACTTTACACCCCGCCTTGATGTTGTGCGAACTGTAAGCTCAACATCACTCTACAGTAACGGGTTTGTAGAAACTGTACAGGTATGTCGTTGGGCTCATCTGGTATTGTGCGATGGCCTCGTTGTGCTCTCCCTATTGGAGTCCTTGCACTCGGTGAAAACTGTTCCCACTGCTTCCTCGTGGGTAACACTTCGCTCAGGTAAGCTTGTACTCGTTGTAGCTCACACTGTACGGAAAAGTGAAACATTCCATCATTCACTCACATGGTCCCGGGCCTGCAATTGCCACAAGGACGGTAGTGCAATCTCGCATGCACTGCTGCACTGTAAGTGAATCTCTCTGACCTTTGCACATCTGCACATGTAGGTCGGTGGTACCTCTTGCCATGAGGCGTGTACACATACTGGGGTTGTGCTCGTAGCTGTTCGTCCACATCCTGTGCCATAGGAATGATATTAACCATTCCCCATTCTTGAAATCGCCTTGCAAGCTCTTCGTCATTCACATGGATTTGGCTTGCTGGTACTGTACTGATTCCAGGCATCCCATTACCACTGCCTGTCGCTGAATCCTCTGGTGCATCACGGAAATACATATTGACTGCCCTTGCTGTACGTTGAACATCATCCTCATCGGGCGGACAATACTTTTGCACAAATCTTCGAATAGTGAATTCCTCCTGCGGTTCCTGTGGTCCTTCTTCCTGCGGTTCCTGTGGTCCTTCTTCCTGTGGTTCCTGTGGTCCTTCTTCCTGTGGTTCCTGTGGTCCTTCTTCCTGTGGTTCCTGTGGTCCTTCTTCCTGTGGTTCCTGTGGTCCTTCTTCCTGTGGTTCCTGTGGTCCTTCTTCCTGTGGTTCCTGTCGTCCTTCGTTCACCTTCTGCTCGACCATGTAGAACAAGAGTAAAGCGAAAATTCCTCCTAGTAGCACACTGAAAAGAATAATCCATCCACTCACTTCCTTCACATAGATGAAAACAAATTCTCGTTCTTCTCGTTCTCGTCCTCCAAAATCGTCTGGCTGTCCTGCAATCTGAGAAATCATATTCACCATCATTGTCAAGTACATCGCTCTAGCCGTCTTGCTTCCTCGCTCATTCAACAAAGTTGCACGTAGTGCTCGAACTTGGCTTCGGCAAACTTCACCTGCCACATGTTCCATTGCTTCTTCTTTCCCATAACGCTCATGACTTTCTCCATTCCACACCATGGCTCCAATATGGTACATGAGAAATCTCCTTCGAGATACTCCTAAGCGCTTTGTATTCAAGTCGGCAATGTTTAATTTGGTAGGCACTGGCTTTGCTTTGAAGCTGTTGTTCTTCACCCCTCGCTGAAGCCATAATACTCTCAGATCGATATGTTTGAGTCCTCCGACTCCTGTTCGCATCATCCATTGTCTTCCCGCACTTGAATCCATCCGGATCTCCACGAGTAACTTTCCTGCAAGAAACATCCACAACTTCTTCAGTAACATCGCTTCTGATGCTCCTCCTGAGCATGCTAGCACTTCGGACTCTGCCGAACTTAAAGCTGTAGCTTTCTGGGTCCTGCTATACGAAAGTACTGGCACTGCATTCACACACACAATCACTGATGATGTAGACCATCTCGCTTCACGGTCTGATGCCCAATCTGCATCCGTGAATACTTCCATACTGTGTGTTCCTTTCTTTTCTTCGTCTTCTTCTTCTTGCTCTTCTCTTTGATAGATCGCATCCATCATCTTGTTTCCAACCTTTGTGTACTTCAGTAGGAATCCCAGTTGCTCTGTTCCTTGCACATAGAGCAAAGCTTGTTTCAAACAGGTTAACGCTTGTTCCGTTGGCTTCGACATCTTACTTGCCAAACACTTCGTCACATGCTGTAAATCCCATCGGTCTTGAGAAATGTACAACAGTGTTCCCAACGCTGAACGAAACTTCTTGCACTCGTTCTCCTCCAGTTCTTTGGAATTGTCCACTGTTCCAATCAGCTGGTGCTCTGGGGTTTGTCTTGGCTTTCGGTTCCCCAGCTTGTAGAGTCCTTTAAGCTTCTCGTAGTGCTTCTTCGACACTGTCACCAAAATTCCTTCTTCAAGGAACTCATAGGTCCTCTTCAGGTAATGAAGCTGTTCTCCCGATCCCCGGTGGGATGGGAACGGTCCCTCAACTGTGAGCTTGAAAAACTTCTCTAGCTCGCATATCAGCCATCTTCCTTCGCCTTTCGCACCTGCAACTAGCTCGTCGTCGACATGAATCGACACTGCAATCTTCTTCACTCGGTGCTTCAAGATTGAGGGTATCCCAACAAATTGCTCAAATCCCAAACGCTTCAAAATCTCAACCAAATGGGTAAACCATTGTTCTGCCGCTGATCTTTGCCCTGGCAGACACTTCTCCACTTTCCATACATGGTCTTCATCCAAACCAAGTAGTGTTCGAATCCACGGTGAGATATCAGCATACATCAGAGCTTTCTGCGTGACTTGCAAGAATGCGTCACGAATGTCAAGAACTGTAAGCTCCCAATTGTAGATGAGATGAAAAAGAAACATCATTCGCACTGCTGCGTGTCCTGACGTAGGACTAAAAGTCTCCTCCGTGCTCTGGGCTCCCGCACGGAATTCCCGACACACAATTCTGCATCTACGCTTCCAAACTCCATCTCTCTTTCTCCAATCGAAAACTGTCCTTAGTGTCAGAAACTTACCTTCCTCTGAACACTCTTCCTTCTTGATCGTCTTCACAACCTTCATGTTGGCGAGTTTGTCAAGTTCAGCTTTTCCTGCCTCTGCATCCAATCTTTCAAGTTCCTCTTCGCTGACTTTCGGTGGTCGATCCTCATCTTCTTCTTCTCCTTCACTATCCGCTTCATATTCCTCTTCGCATTCCTTCCAGACTCTTTCTTCCCAAAGGTCATCTTCATGATATCCTGTTTCGTCTTCCTGTTCTTCTACCTGTCCGGCGTACAACGGTGGAAATAGACTTCCTTTCGGACTTCCAGGATCAGCACTTGTAGGTGAACTTTCCGCAGTCTTTTGTTGCTTCGTTGGTGGCTCCTCAGCATCTGCTGTTTTACTAGCTTTCGCAGGTTCCTCTCTTTCTTCTCCTTCAGTTTCTCTCTTTTGTCCCCCGCCTTGGTTGGAATCCGTTGATGAACTTCGAGGTGTAGGTTGACCACTGCTCAGCAATAGATCACTGATTGTGTCATGCTTTGAACTTTCCACATCAGATCCTGCTTCATCTCCTGCTGGCTCTGGCTCATTTTCTCCTCCTTCTTTCTCTTTGCCTGGTTCTTCCATGATTCTCGGTAACGGTGCCGCATGCGCGGTGTGCCCTAGCCTTGGGGCTTTCTTCGTCCAAGGAGAACCCTGAAGTTGAAGGGTCTCACGTGCGCGCCACGCTGGTTGTGTGCGCCGCACAGATCTTGACGTAAAGATCCCATCTTTTGATGTAATCACGTCCATGTCCCGGTCGTCCTTTCCAACCCATATTCCTCCTGTCCACAAGGATCGATTCTTCACTCCTCCAGGCTTGGCCAGACCAAACACATACTCTCCGAAGGGTAAAATCTGCCCTTGGTATGGTCTCCCGTAGACCAATTGGAAAGCTGTACTCTGCGTCCCTGAGTGTAGGTGGTACCTGTTGAACAACCATGCTGCGTGGTGAATTGCCCACGCTCGTAAAGCATGATCTTCAGGAATCTTTTCCCCAATCCGATCCTCGACCATTTCAATCATCGTGAGGCTTTGTCTCCTGAGGTTCTGAATGTGGCGTTCCACTCTCGCTGTTCTTCCTTTGTGGTAGGGCTTGTTTGGATACTTTCCAGCCTTGTAGCCTAACTTTTGTCGTATTGCTACAATCAAATCCAGTAAGGCTGTTGTCGCTGGCTCCACATCAATCGCAAACAGAACTTCTTCGGAAATGTAGTTCATCTCGAGAGAAAACTTCACCACTTTCTCGGCCAACTTCTTCGTCGGTGCTTTCCCCGGCACTGGAATCGCCCACGAAAATCGAGTCCATGAATCAAGAATGATCAGACTCACACTGTTCTGACCCATGTACATGAAGTCCATCTGGATCACTGGCTTTCCTGGGTCTTCATACTTTGCTTCACTGCTTTGTGGGGTATGGTCCTGTTTCGACTTTGCTGCTGCACAGAAATCACACCATGGTTGCATTGGCATGTGGGTTGCCATATGCTCTTCAATCTCTGCTTCTGTCGGTTCGGGCACTCCGGGTCTTGTTCTTGCTTTGGGCCTTTGCTTCCTCAGCCTGTCTGCAACTTCTTCTGCGTCCTCATCTCTGTCTTCGGTGAGGTAGTTGCACAGTCTCCTGAACATCTTCACCTTTGACCCTGAGACGCTCAAACCCAAATACCGACAACCTTCTCGCAGCTTCTCAATCTCACTCGTTGCTGTGAGTGACTCTCCATTCACCACAATAGTACTTCCCATGTCGAGTTCCAACTCTTGGTGTCCTCCTGCCTTTCCTTGCTGCTTCACAACTCCTTTCGGCACTGGCACCTGCAACTCTTCTGGAGCTCCTCTTTCTCTTCCAAACCATTCTGGCTCCTCTTCCATCTTCTTTTCTTCCTCCTTTGGTGCTTCTTCTGGTGCTACCTCTTCTACCAAGCACTTGTCCAGATACTCTGGTGTCCTGTGCAAGAATGTGAGAATTTCTGATCGAAAAAGCAATCCCGGTATTCGATCTTCCAAGTCGGATTTTCGCTCGAGCAATTCCGTTGCTTCAATCACTTCCCATTCGTTGCCCACCTTCACGATGGTGGTCCTGTACTTCCAAGTACCTGTCGGCGGCTTTACAAACTCAAGTCCAAAATGGCGATGGACTGGCGTTCCATTCGGTAGAAGGCTCCAATCCTTCTCTGGGACTTTACCAAAGTCATAGGCCAAAGTCACCTTGACTGCCCTGACTTGCTCGACTCCTCTAACTTCCGCTGTCAATCTCAAGCTATTCCTCTGGTATTCCACAGGCACCCGTGCCTTACCATCGGGAGATACAAGTTCCCCCGCCTGGGTTTCTTCTCCCCAGGTCTCGCCCCCCTGGCGCTGTTTGCATCCCACTGACACAAACTTCCATCCATTTTTGAGTAGCCTTCCTAAAGACAGCAAGATGTTATTGGTGTCCGACAACACAAAGTCCTCAGTCACACTGCAGCTACTGAACTGCAAAACTGCTCGCCGCATACCTTCAACTCGCATCGCACCCCCTTGTGCGTCTTGCAACCTCAGAGAGGTTGGGGTCGAAACTTCGACGCCTGCATCCGACAATCTTCGTGGTAACAAACTCACATCTGCTCCTGAATCCAAGATCACCACATGTTGCTTTGTGTCCAACTGGACCATTCGCACATTGAGAGGTTCCGATCCTCCCTGACTCAGAGGTTCCAATCCTCCTGACTCAGAGGTTCCAATCCTCCTTGATTCAGAGGTTCCAATCCTCCTGGAGGTCCCAATCCTCCTTGAACTCTTTCCAAGCTGTTTTCATACCATTGATACAGCTCATCACTCTCATGATCTTGTTTGTTCTCACTCTCATCCCCGATGTAGTAGCACTCTGGTCCTTGCACCTCTATCCTTCTGGTGAACCAATCACCTTCTTCTTCTGAAACTTCGCTAAGCTCATAGTGCTCTGTGCCGTCAGGTGGTGTGTTCGCAATGTGATGGAAATCAATGTTCCTCACTCTCCTTATCCTGTATTGGCTCGCACTCTGCGACGGAGTAACAGACTCGACTGTCGAGTGGGGTACCTCGGTGCTGGCCTCGCTCGCCTGCACTTCTCGAACATTGCGGTTTGGACACTCGTTTCCCCAATGTCCTCGCTGCTTGCAGAATCGGCAAACATCTCTGTCCAACTTCTTTCCTCCACCTTTCTTTCCTCTTTTGCCATGCTTTCCACCTTTCTTTCCGCCTTTCTTTCCTCCTTTGTGGAAACCTTTGCCTCGTCCTTTCTTTCCTCCTTTGTAGCTTCCTTTTCGTCCACCTTTTCTCCATTGGCGAAATCCTGCTCCAAAGCTTGACCACGAGTAGGATCCTTTTCCTCCTTTGTTTCCTTTGTTGCCTTTGTTTCCTTTTCCTCCTCCTTTCTCGTACACTGCATCCACTTCCATTGGTGCTGGTCCTTGATCTGCATTCGAACTGCTCGCTGTGTTCTGCAAGGTCTTTTGCTTCAACACCGTCTGGTAATCCCAAGTTTTGCTGCTTTGCTCGTATGAAAGAATCGCTTGCTTCACTGACATGTAGTTTGTTCCTTCGGGCATTGTCAAAGTAAGGTGGTCTCGAATCGCCCTCGGTGAACATCGAAGCAAAACTCCCATCAACAAATCTCGATCGTAGGTCTTTCCTGAAGCGATCTCGTACTCCCGAACAAGGTTTTCCAGTGAACCAATCTGCTCCACCATGCTCTTGGCCCCATCGAAGTTGGGAAACATCCCAATCGCTTGACTGAGGGTTAGAGCTCGTTGTTTGGTGGCTGGTTGGTATTCCCAAAGCAAACTTTGATAGAGACGATACCCACATCGCTCCCTGCTCCAATTTCGAGACAGTTGCGTTGCTGCTCCCCGCATATACGAAGTCAGTATGTGGTAAAGCTTTGTCGAAAGTTCTCTCTCCACTGTAGTGAGAGTCGAAACATCGATCGGCGTTGCTCCCAGACTTTCAATCATACTTAGAGCTTCTGAGTACTGCGAATCGGCAAAACCTAGCCAATTCAGAAACTGATGTTTCCAGGTTGTAAAATCCGGTGGATGCTCTCCCGAGGCTTGTGGGTTCCAAACATCTGGTGCCTTGATCGCCTTTGTCGCACTTTCAATCCTTCGGTTCAGATCATCCGAACTGCTTGCTTGTTGCTCCAACCTTTGTAGCGCACTCATTCCAACTTGGGTCGCCCTTGTCAATGCAGTCAGAATTTCAGAAAGTTCTGTGGGTTGTTGGGGTGGTCCATTCTGCTGCATCCCTTGCACTGCAGAAAACTGTAACACGACAAGCACACACAGCATCGCTCCTCTCTGTTGTTTTCTCACACAAGCACACGAACGCAAGTGATCTCTCCGTGCCCCTCTGCTCAAGCGCCTCCGAAAACATGAATGTTGCAATCTCCACAAACATGACTGACGACATGACTGCAAGTGCACTGTCGCTTGCAAACATCCAATGCACAACATGATCGCACCTGATACTCCAAGCATAAGCATCATTGCCATTGCTCCATTGTAATCGAATTGCATAGTCTTGGGGTCGTAGAGGTTCTTTGCTCCTGGAATGCTGGTCCAAATCCACATCACCAATGGATCTCTTGTTCCATTCATAGTCTTGTCGGAGTAGAGGCTCTTGTTTGTACATAGGCCATAGAATTTTGATTCCTCCTGGTAGTCGATCTCTGTTTTCTCCTCCTGGTAGTCGATCTCTGCTTTCTCTTCTGGTAGTCGATCTCTGCTTTCTCCTTCTGGTAGTCGATCTCTGCTTTCTCCTTCTGGTAGTCGACCTCATCGTCCTGACCAATCTCCCCATTCATCTTCCTCATTTCCAGGGTTTGGCTCCTCGCCCCTTTCTCGCATTCTCCTCCTTTCTGCTCTCCTCCAAGGAGAATTCGGGTAGAGCGTAGTGGCTTGCGTTGCTCCCCCTCGCTTCGGTGGTGGTCCCTTTGGCTCTGGAGGTGGCGCCTTGCTTCCAGCAGGTCGTTCCTTCGGAGGTGGTCCTCTGGAACTGCTCCCTGGCTCATTTCTCGCATCTTCCATCCTGGGTTGTAGGGTCCCAGGTCCCGTCCTGGGTTGTAGGGTCCCAGGCCCCGTGTCTCGGCTGGAACTCGCTGTTCCACTGCTTTGGCTTCGCTGGCCGTACCTGGCTCGAAAGTATGCAACTCCACGAGCAAATTCCTTGGATTCCCTGGCTCTTGCTTCGTCTCCTGAAGGAATTGCACCGGCACGTCTTGCAGCATACTCTTCCTCATTCCGGCGGATGTGTTCCGCCACTGCTGCGTTGCTGGGTTCCCCGTCCAGCGTGTGAAGAGGAAGCTTCGTACCACTCGGCATTGGGTCCGGAGGTGGACACTCTGGAGCTCGTTCTTGTCCTGGCGGTGGACACTCTGGAGCTTGCTCTGGTTCTGGGCCCGCTGGTGGCGGTGGCCCTCCTGACTTTGGAAACCGAACTGGTTCCTGCAAGGCTCGTTCCCTTGCTCGCCGTTGGATCCTTTCCGTCTCTGCTGCGAGTGCAGAGAGTCTCTCCAGCTGCCTTCGCCTGCGTTGCTCAGCAGACACTTGCTGCTCTTGCAGCTCCAAGGCGATGTGCCCAGACGAAAGTGTTCTCGGCTCCCTTCTTGGTGTAGGTGGTGCCTCTTGGTACACCATTGTAGTTTCGGGGCTAGAGGAACTAGGACTCCCGATCTCCACTGGCCCGTCTGGTTCTCCCCCTTCCAAGGGAATGTAATCTCTTCCTTCCACCACTGGTCGTTCGGGCTTCTTCTTCGGCTTTGGAGGCATATACCTTGGTGCACTTCCACTTCCTTCAGCTGAACTGCTTGCTGAAGATCCGTAGCCTTTTCCCATGCCAACACGGTGAATCTTGATCTCCTTTCTTCGTGGCTCCATTTCTTCTTCTTGTTCCCCTTCTTCCATGGGCTCTGCGGGTTCCATCGGCTCCATGGGTTCTGTGAGTTCCATTGGCTCCATGGGTTCTGTGAGTTCCATGGGCTCTGTAGGTTCTGTGAGCTCCATTGGCTCCACAGCATCAGGGTTCCAACCCAAACCATCATCACGGCCACGAGGCATGGCTTCGGTCCCGGATGCACAGTGTGCTCCGCTACCATGCTAAACTTCAAGTCGCTCTTTTTCCTTGAACCGGTAAAGGCGCTGTCGGTAAAACATGAGTCACAAATCCACACATGCTCATCAACCCTTTGGGTTGGTAGGTGGGGTTCCCAGGTAGTAGAAAAACTTTACAAATAAGCTTCGGAAACCCCCATGTCAGGTGCAGTCAATAGTCTTCTGAGCAGTGGGCTGCACCTTGGCCCTTCTTGTCAGGCGCCTCAAATTTGATAAAGTTTGGCGACAGCAATGCAAACACGACAGATGGTAAGCTTGCCCGAGAGAGAGCAAGTGTATCCGAGCGATATGGGCGCCCGGCGCCGCGGCCGCTGGCGCGCGTCGGAACCTGGAGCTTACGAAAATACTGCTTGCGCTGTCTGGCCAGTAGTTTTGCTGGCACTGAGATGCGAGCCCAGGCAGGGATCGGCCGCTGGCGCGCGTCGGAACCTGGAGCTTACGAAAATACTGCTTGCGCTGTCTGGCCAGTAGTTTTGCTGGCACTGAGATGCGAGCCCAGGCAGGGATTGCGTGCGCGGCTGCCTGAGCGACACGCGTTGCTCTAAAGCGCTGTGGCGGTCAGGAGCCGAAGCTTGTACGACGGGGGGGGGGGGGGGGGGGGGGAAAAGGAGGCGGCGTCGGGACCTAAGCGATTGCATTCACTAAGAAGACGGTTGCTCTTGCAGGCGGACAAGCGCATGGCCAGTGGAGGCCGTGGCGGTCCCGCCTGGTGGGCGCAAAGCGATTACATGGAGCTGCTGGCTGCTGTTTAGTGCCGAGACAGAAGCGGGCTCGGCAGGGCGACGCCAAGGCGCCTTCAAGTAGCTTTGGTGAGAAAACTTTCGCAAAGCCATTGTAGCGGGCCGAAGCCAAGGCCCTTGCCGAAGCCAAGGCGGCCTGGGTAGAGGCGTGGTTGCTATCAGCCGCTTGTTGCTTCAAAGGTTACCGAGGCACAAGCACTCAACGGCTCGGCAGGCCGCTCGGCGGGCCGCTTGGCTGCCTGAAGCGACTTCAATAACTAGAATTATTAAAGGTTGGTGTGGACAGCTGAATTCGAGGGACGGGCTGAGGACACGGGAAGACGCTTCTTCGATGCCTGAGGGCGTTGGGAAGGTGAAGCGTTTTCCGCTTGTTGAACGACTTGAATTTTTGAAAGGCCACTGTAAAGAGCGGACTCCGAGGGACGGGCCGAGGACACAGCACGCTTCTTGGATGCCTGAGGGCGTTGGGCAAGTGAGGTGTTTGTCAGCCGCTTTCTGCTTCTGAAGTCCTGAGGCAGGGGCAGTCTTGGCCTCGGCGGGCACCTCAAGCGACGTTGATGACTTGAATTTTTGAAGGCTACTGTGAACAGCGGACTCCGAGGGACGGGCTGAGGACACAGCAGGAGGCTGCTTGAATGCCTGAGGGCGTTGGGCAAGTGAGGTGTTTGTCAGCCGCTTTCTGCTTCTGAAGTCATCGAGGCAGGGGCAGTATTGGGCTCGGCGGGCAGCTCCAATGCCTCAAGCGACTTTGATGACTTGCGTTTTTGAAGGCTCCTGTAAACAGCGGACTCCGAGGGACGGGCTGAGGACACAGCAGGAGGCTTCCTGGATGCCTTGAGGACGTTGGGCAAGTGAAGTGTTTGTAAGTCCTCGAGGCAGGGGGGGCTCGGCGGGCAGCTCGGAAGCCGAATTTTTGAAGGCTACTTTAAACAGCGGACTGCGAGGCACGGGCTGAGGACACAGCAGGAGGCTTCTTGGATGCCTGAGGACGTTGGGCAAGTGGGGTGTTTGTCAGCCGCTTTCTGCTTCTGAAGTTCTCGAGGCAGGGGCAGTTTTCGCCTCGGTGGGCAGCTCGGATGCCTCAAGCGACTTTGAAGACTTTTTGAAGGCTACTGTGAACAGCGGACTCCAAAGGACGGGCTGAGGACACAGCAGGAGGCTTCTTGGATGCCTGAGGACGTTGGGCAAGTGAGGTGTTTGTCAGCCGCTTTCTGCTTCTGAAGTCCTCGAGGCAGGGGCAGTCTTGGGCTCGGTGGGCAGCTCGGACGCCTCAAGCGACTTTGATGACTTGAATTTTTTGAAGGCTACTTTAAACAGCGGACTGCGAGGCACGGGCTGAGGACACAGCACGCTTCTTGGATGCCTGAGACGTTGGGAAGGCGAAGTGTTTGTCAGCAGCTTTCTGCTTCTGAAGTCATCGAGGCAAGGGCAGGGGCAGTCTTTGGCTCAGCGGGCAGCTCGGACGCCTCAAGCCACTTTGATGACTTGAATTTTTGAAGGCTACTGTAAACAGCGGACTGCGAGGGACGGGCTGAGGAAACAGCACGCTTCTTGGATGCCTGAAAGCGACGTGGAAACAAAGATTTGTTGCTTGCTGTTTCACAAGGTACTGAGGCAGGCATGTCCATGTCCCGACGAGGTGATGCCTAAGTTTTGTTGGCTACTTTTTGCTTCACAGGCAAGAACCGCTAGCTGTTCAGCGGGCGGCTCAGCCGCCTCAAGTGGCGTTGAGAAGTTGTTCTGGTGTGTATTTGCTGCGTGAGTCGAGAGATTCGGAGACAGCAGCCAGGGGCTTTGCCGTGGACGAGCCTGCTGTCTTTGTCAAACAGGTTTCATGAGTCGAGTGTGAAACAAATGGAAGACAGCGAAGAGGCGACGAGTTTCGAGGCCCGAGCCCATGTCCTTGTATGGTTGCCTGAAGGCGGCGTGTGGGCCGAAGACGTTGGTGCTTAGTTTCAGCTCCAAGACTTGAGGCACGAGCTTTCACAGCCTTCGCCTTTGGAGTTGCGGCAGCGAGTGCGACTTCTGGCACAGGCTCCTGGGCTGCAGACGCTGCCGTGATTAGCAAGTCTGACTAGCAGGTCGCATGCTGAGAGAGGAACGTGCACGGTGCGAGGCAAGGGGCACGGCTTCCTGCACGCAGGAACCTTGCTGCAGGAGGGAACTAGGCGGCCGGCAACTCGTTTTGAAGGGGGGACGGAGACGATTTACCCACCTTCAGTGTGGGGTTGTTTGATATTCATTAAGATTTAAACTCAGTCTCCTCGCCCGGAACTCTTCTCTTCGCCCCATCTACTCCTAGAGACTCACTGGAGTGTCTACTCCCTGGAGAGCTCAACACCAGAGACTCCCTGGAGTGCCCAACCCCAGACACTCCAGGGAGTGCCCAACTCAGACATTCCCTGAAGCGCCCGCAAAAAAGTTAGAGACTTCCGCAACTTCCTTGACATGGGGGGGGGCTTGGTCAACGATGAGGTCCATTGTGGTGCTGCCGCCGCTTCTGTATTTTTTTTGGGCGCACCCCCTCTCCTGCCAGTAGTGCATACTGCAGCAGGGTTTTGCTGCACGTAGATTCAACGAGGGCCTGAGCTTCAGGAGACAGTCGATCCGGCCTTTCTGAACCTGAACCAGGCTGGCGACCGCCGTGACGAATGAAGAAGTTTTATGGAAAGTTAGCAGTTGGCTTGAGTTTAGGCCTAAACCCTAAAAGGAATAAGTTTGGGTGGCTTTGCCGCCTCGGACGGCGTGGGGTGGGAGAAAAGTGTTAGATGGCCTTCCACAATCGGGCCAAAGCTGCTCTTCGCGCCTCACGAAGCTTTCGAGCTTGTTCCAAAACCTGACCATCACAGCATCTACGCCCTATCGCAGCAAACCCTAAACCCTAAACCCACCCTCTCTCCTTGCCAGTAGTGCATACTGCGGCAGGGTTTTGCTGCACGTAGATTCAAAGAGGACCTGAGCTTCAGGAGACAGTCGATCCAGGCCTTTCTGAACCTGAACCAGGCTGGCGACACCGTGACGAATGAAGAAGTTTTATGGAAAGTTAGCTGTTGGCTTGAGTTTAGGCCTAAACCCTAAAAGGAATAAGTTTGGGTGGCTTTGCCGCCTCGGACGGCGTGGGGTGGGAGAAAAGTGTTAGATGGCCTTCCACAATCGGGCCAAAGCTGCTCTTCGCGCCTCACGAAGCTTTCGAGCTTGTTCCAAAACCTGACCATCACAGCATCTACGCCCTATCGCAGCAAACCCTAAACCCTAAACCCACCCTCTCTCCTTGCCAGTAGTGCATACTGCGGCAGGGTTTTGCTGCACGTAGATTCAAAGAGGACCTGAGCTTCAGGAGACAGTCGATCCAGGCCTTTCTGAACCTGAACCAGGCTGGCGACACCGTGACGAATGAAGAAGTTTTATGGAAAGTTAGCTGTTGGCTTGAGTTTAGGCCTAAACCCTAAAAGGAATAAGTTTGGGTGGCTTTGCCGCCTCGGACGGCGTGGGGTGGGAGAAAAGTGTTAGATGGCCTTCCACAATCGGGCCCAAGCTGGCTGCACGAAGCTTTCGACTCGAGCTTGTTCCAAAACCTGACCCTGCACCCTAAACCCTAAACCTGCTCTCTCCTTCTCTCTGCAAAGGAGGCAGGCAGCTGTATGGAAAAAGGTTCGGCCGCTACAACCGCATGTAGATACTATTCTTAGACTGAAGCATTTCCATACAGACACCTGTTTCCTTTAGACTTCTTTCAACTGAGACTGCCCGAGAGAGTGCCAGGCGACCACGGTACTCCTGGGGGAGGCCACCTCAGAATTCCTAGACCCTTTTTCATTCTGGGCCACGTCGCGTGCGATAACGCGGGTGTGCGCAGGCAGGACTGAGATGTGGGCAGGTCTAGAGACCAGGCGACACGTCGCCTTGGAACCAAAGCTTTATAGCTCCACACAACATTCCCAGCGCACAGTAAGGCGACGACGCCGGTCCACACGACCAGCGGCACTCCCGCCTGGACAGCGAGTGAGTGTCAGGAATGGAGTTCAGGGCCATGCCCTGCCGCTGGCCCGCACTTGCCGCTGTGGCCGCTGTGAGCCCGGAGTGCGCGTCAGGCCCAAAACCCTAAACCCTAAACAACCCTGAGTCTAGGTTTACGGGGTTTGGGGACCCCAAAGGTCGTCGTTTAGGGTTTCGGGCAAGGGTCGAACAAGGGTTCTTTTGACTCCTCTACCCAGGTCATGCTTTGCGGAAACCTTAACCCTAAATGTTAGAATTGGGGCGTCTTCCGCACCCAGCAAGGGCTTAAGTTTTTGAGCCCTATAAACCTGAAGCCCTAAACTCAAAACCCTTAGAGGCCAAAGAATCACTACAACGCCCTTGGTGGGCACCGATAGATGATCAAGCAGATGGTTTACACAAGAGCACGCACGAAGGACCCTGCACCTTAGACTTATGGAAGCCCTAAACACTAAATCTCTGGCATGATAGTCTAGACAGTGGCCCTTGAAGGGGGGCGTGGCTTTGGCTAACTAAAACGGACACGGCATTGAATCTCTTAAAGACTTGCCCCTAACAGCTTTAATCGTACAATAACCTTTCGAAAGGTCTCTAACATCTTCAAAAAATAGAATGGATTAGGCCCCACGCCTGTATCGGTGTCGCTTGAGGGCCCCATCGCTTTCCGAAGAGAAGCACTGGGAATCGGAACGCATGCACCGTCAAACCAAGATGCTCTCTTCGAACCGAATCGAAAGACATCATTGATCAAGATCATAGCAGATGAGAGCACGAATAGATATGGTGAACAGAGAAAGAAATAGTGAAGCAGAGTGAGACACTGAGGAAAACATACATACCGGCAGCAAGTGATAGAGGGGTCGGAGTTGCTGCAAAGATTTCAAGGACGTGACCTCCTTAAGCCCCAGCGATCCGAGTCGTCCTCCTGTAGATGCAGGCGTCATCATTCTTCGAAGCGTTGCCCCTGCCCGAGGCGTTGGGGGAAGTAACTCCATGGCTCTATCTGCTAGTGGAAATGTGAGCTTTGCTATGATGAACGCAGCCGAGCTCTGCAGCAAAGCAGACACTGTTTTCAAAAAGCTTTCGGGCGCGACTGTAACTGTCAGGATAGCTTGCCCACTCAGACGACAGGTTTCCTGCCACGCACGCCGGCTCTGCGAAGATTGTCTTCTCGCGTCAAGGTATTCGGCGTGATGCGCCGCTTCCGAGTCGTTTGGTTGGCCGCAGCTGGTTTCTTGTGCGCTGCTGCTTTCACCAAGGCACGCTCTCCTGCTAGCTGCGGCTGAATCCGCAGTTCAGCCTTACTGGGCGTGTTGCCCTCTTTCAATTCAGAACACCATGCCCGCCATTCTTCTGATGTCCAGATCTCCATGGAAGCCGTTCGAGCTAATAGCTCTGCTTCCGCCATTTGTCTAGTTGTGGATCTGTACAGGGCAGCGTTGTGAGTCATTAATTTGCTGAGACGAAAAATGAACAATTTCAGGGCGAGCGTGCTTTTGTGGATTTTTTTTGGGTCTCCCTGACCAATTATTCACTTCATGATGAAGTGCCTCAATAGAGGTGGTCCCTACCGGAAGAAGGCTCAGGCGAGCCTCTGCGATCATATGTCGCATGCGGAGATTGTTGAAGTACCACTCCGTTCGCGGAGCGGCCGCGGCAGTGTGCAGGAGCTCGTAGATTTTCCTGTTTGGGCCAGGACAAATGCGTTCCACTTCTGCACGATACACGGCCGCCAAAGCTGCGAGACTCCGAATCCACTCGATGCGCTCCCAAAATGGTTCCCCGGGATTCAAGTCATGCAGGATTTTGTTGGCGGTCTTCAGGGACATACTCCTGTCTTCGATCTGTAGGCGTGCTCGTTCTTCTTCACGTGTGAAGGCCCGTGTGTTTTCGCCAGTGAAGACCGGCCCCCATGTGCTTGCGTCGCAGCTAGAGCTTCGAGCTGTGAACTTCTGCATGATGCCTCGCAGCGCTCGGGTGCAAGCGGTTCTGCGCCGACTCGAAGCATATTCGCATGTCATTGGAAGATGGACAGGGTCCAACGCAAGAACATGTAAATTGGGACATATTTGCCGGACGCATCGCCACATTTTTGCTGACGGATTATCGACGGAGAAATAGCGAACCTGCTGCAAGGCACGAGCAGAGAGGCGAGAAGCCAATGCATCGATCATGACCGGCGTGTCTTCGGATGAGATCGCTTGCAATAAAACCACTGCGTTCGTGCGACTTCTGCACGTGAGTACCTGCAAGGGGAGCAGGAAAGCCTACAAACAAAATTATTCCTGTCACAGCCTCTTGCTGTGGAGTCTACGAACACTATACTTCTCGCGGTCAAGATGCTCTGGTGATCGCTGCCTCGCCTTTATAAATACAGCCTGGGCTTTTACCTCCTGGGACGCCCTTGGATGAGCCTGCCCCAGCACAGGCAAGCAGCATCGCAGCGTGGCGTCCATGCTGATCACTTCGTACTCCTGATTGGCGATGAGTTCCTCAGAGAGGTCTTCGAGGAATTTCCGTACTCGGGAACACTGAAAGATGTCCTCGATGATGGGCCACCAATGGTTTGCATGGCGCGGAACGAGACTGCTTGTTTCTCCCGGAAAATAGGCTACCAAGCGGGCGTGCAGCGCATAGACCTCACGAGACGTTCACTTAGTTGAATAGTTGCTTCACAGGATTAGCTTAGATTTCAACATCCATGAATGTATTCACCAGAACCAGCGCGTGCCTTGGCATCGCAGACGAGAAATTCTTTGAAAAGCATCTGTGCGAAATCGTGTGTATAGTACAGATTGCGAACACGACGAAGATGACTTGTTTGCACAGTCGCCAGCGACCAATATTGCGGACCGCGGGATGTCAAAACTAAGCGGATGTGTCTGTCCAAAGTCATGTCCTTACTCGACACAGAGTCATCCAAGTGAGCCGACATCAGCGCGGCACTGCGGGCCAGGTACCTGCCGCCTGCTTTTCTTTCGCACTGGTCCTGGTCGTGTAGAGCAATGACGAGCTTGAGCTGTTTTGTACCGCTGGCAACAAACTGCTTAGCTCTTGTGTGATGATTTTTCACATGAGTCACGACTCGTCCAGATCTTGTCTTGTCCCATGTACGACGAGGACAAAAGGGGCAGACGGAAGCTCCGTCTCGTTTGACGTCGGCTGCCCGGGAAGCCGAGTCCTTGCTCAGGAAAGTATTCACTTCGTCTTGCAGAGAATCCAAGAGACGATCGGCCACGTGCGTGATGCCCTCATCTTCTTGATTGTCGTCCTGCTCAGGATAGTTCGCAGAAGACAAGGGGAGTTCGACATCACGCACGAAGACGTCGTCGACGTCATCGTCCTCTGCGCCAGCCTGAGTTTCGAGCAGCCGACGATAATTAATCTTCCTTCTTCGGCGTCGTTCGGCATTTCCGCGGGCTTGTCCATCAGGTAAAAAGCCAGCATGTACTTTCTATCGGTCGCCTCCAATAGCATTCTCTTGTAGTCATCTGCAGAAACTGTATAGACAGCGGTTCCGTTCGTCACCTGCAGTGCATCGTCTGAGATAGTTTCCACGGTCACGCAATGCGGACAGCCATCCGTGGCCAAATGGAGTAAGAACTTCTGGCCAGCGTGTAACTCTGCAGACGGTACGCGAGGGAACATTGTAATCTCGAGACATGCTTCCACCTGCTCGTACGTCCTGCGCGCTCGTCTAGCAAAAAAAACACGCGCTGGTCCTTCGGTTTGAGTAGCCATGGCCATCGCCTGTCTCTGATACCCGAGATGATGTAACGCGGCCAGAATGCAGTTGCCTTTCTCGAGAAGTTTCTCCGGACAGTGCAGCTCTTCGGCGCCAGGCAGTTGATCCAGCAAACGCTTGAAGCTGCGATGTTCTTTCGAACGGATAGAGACACTGAAACCAGTTTCTGCCTCGATCCAGCTGGAGCACTGCTGACAAAAGGAAGTCACGTCCGGTTGCACCACGTTGCGATCAATGCGCAGCCCGTCAAAATGCAAGGAAAGATGCTCGCCTTTTGAAGCCAGGCTTCCAAGACTGTATCCTCTGCAATGTTCCAGAAATATGCTAGAATTGATAGATCTGGTTTCTCCTTCAGGTGCAACACTGACGCCCAGGCCAGATCTTTCAAGCACCAAGCAGCTACCCATCGACAAAACACTGACGCTCTCTGTAGCTGCGCAATGAACTCGTCGTTCGCGAGATGCTGCGGCGGCGCGCCGCCGTGGAAAACCTTCTGCAACAATTGCTTGCCTTCGTTCACGCTTAGTTTGAGCTTTTGCTGGATAATGTCCGTGCGATTTGGCACAGCTCTCCAACGTTTCTCTCACTCCTGACCAGGCCGGATGTTCTGGTTCTAATCGATCCAGCAACTGCAACATCAAGTTGAAAAGGCAGTTCTCGATGTCCAGATCGAGTGTTTGTTCTAGAGCAACGGCCTGCCACGCAGTCCCAAGGTTCTGAGCAGAACATTTGTTGGCATAGCGCCTGGATCGCAGGCTGTCGGTCTTGTACGCATATTGGACATCCACACTGACGAAAACGTCTTCGGCACCAAAAGGATTTCCATCATCGCCAGCTCTCTGCGAAGAAGAGCTCGCAGCTGAAGCAGCTCCAGTCCCTGCCGGCATTTTGCAGCGCCGACGCCGTGCTGGAGTTTCAGCGTGAGTTTGTTGGGAAGCACTGTGGTTGCACTCCAGCAGATGCAGCAAGTCGCGAGCGCAATCTTCATGTTTTGCAAGCTTGTTGCTGAAACCTCGCCACATAAGCAACGCCTCAACCTGCTGCTTGCTCTTGTTGCCCTTCTTACCCTTGTCCAATTTCTTGATGATGTCCTGATAGACGTCTTGCATCAACATCGCATTGGCAGCTCTGCTAGGATCGCCTTCAACCGCGCCCCATAGCTTCGTGGCATTGAAATTCTCTCGTACCGTAGTGAATTCTTCCGCATACTTCACGCTGAGAATGTCCTCCAGCTTCTTCTTGCACGGTATGATTGGAATGAATGTTTCGGGCTCTGGCTTGCAATCAGCAGGCAGAAAGAATTCACGGGAGAGCAATGCTTTCCACACAGCATCCTTCGAGTTTGCAGCGACGCCAACTTTCGCTGGCGCGAAACGCGACCACCACGCATAGGTTAGCTTGGTCTTGTTCACAGCCAGATTTTTGCCTGCGCTAGGACCCAAGCAAAACCAAATAGTATAGTCGCAAGGTGAGCCTTGGTGACCGGATCCTCTGTTGGCGCGGTCTCCTCCGCTTGCTTGAGCATCGCGGCGAGAGCGGATGAGGCCGGACCGCCGTTCACGCCAGGTTCCTGCACGTGCGCAGGCTCACAAGAGCTTGGTGTTTCTGCTAACGTCAAGAGACTACCTGTTTATTAAGGACACACAAGATCGTCAGTGTCGGCAAGCTGAGCGGTTATAGTAGCTTGCGATTCATGATGAGATTATGTTCTTTGTGTCACCAATGTCCTCGGGCGGAGGCTGTAACCCACAAGCTGCTCGCACCTTTCGCTCAGTCAGGCCACTGAGTGCATAGGCTTCGATAATGTCAACGCACCCTTGACGACCTACCTCGACTTCAAAGCCATGCTGCTGCTCCAGATTTGCAGCGATGGCAGGTCCGCATTCCAGGAAGGATCTTAACGTGGGGCCCTTTTGGAAGATGTCGTCAGCTTGCGGGTCCTTGTAGTCTGTCCCGAAATCCGTGTTCTCCACGAATATCGGTTTGGGGTTCCAAACAAGGCATCTTCCGTAGATCGAGTTGAAGTTGGCCTCCATCACGTTGCGGAACGTCATCACCTTGTTCGTTTCGAACCGCTTGAAACCGACGACTCGCAACATCTTCGTGACGAAGCCATATGGACGTCTACCCGCAAGATCGTCGGCAGACATCAGTTTCTTGAAAAGATCCTGCTGAAAGTGACGATGTGTTTCTGGAGCTTCTTGAGCGGTAATGATCCAGCAATGCGCAAATTGCTCCAACTGTTTCCGCATTTCCTCTTCATTGTGGAAGAGGTTGGGGTCTATAAACGCATGATTGTGGCTATAGACCGCTGCAAGATGAGTGCTGAAAAGCGACTGGCCCGTGCCGCCCGGTGACTCCCCAATAAAACACCGATCTACATTCTCACCTCTCTTGGCGAGGGCGATGGCGGCAAGCGTGGCTTTGTAATAATCCTCGTTGCACCAGAAGGTTTCTTTAATGAATTTACGCAGACGCTCTCTGGCGGCTTGAAGAACAGGATCAGCATAACTGGACCGCAGTGGAAAGGATAGGCGCACGTAGATATTGTTGTCAGGACTGGGCGCAACGATTGTCACGTGGCTTGCGCCGTCTTCATCATACAAGACTGACACAGCCTGATAAGCGCAGCCTGGACGACGGGAAGAAGGGCAGTCGCACCATGCTGCCACGTATTGTAACAGTCTTCCTCAGGCTGAGGTCGTTGGCTCAAAGGAGCATGGATTCTTGCGTTTAGAAACACATAAATATTTCGTTGTGTGCTTTAACAAAGCAAAGGATACCTCAGTTGAAAAAAAAAACGCTGAAGTTCAGCCTGACATCGCTCTTCCAGAAGGTCTTTCTGCAGCGGGGAAACAATCTTGCGAATCATGTGCGCCACTTGCTCCGGCCATCCTCGACCTGTGGGCACTTCTCCATCAGCTGCCTGTTGTCCTCGTCGGTGACCGCCATCGCCGACTTTGCCGTAATCAGCACAAAGAGCAGTATCTTCACACAACGCCATGAACTCTACTTCGCCATTGCAGTTCCCAAGGATTCTGTCGATCTCGCGGAGCACTGCAGAGTCTGACCGTTCCGAGTGAGGCAAGAAGTTTCGAAACGCGCCTTCAAGCTTCAAGAGGAATTTACGAAGTCTCAGAAGGTGGACTCCGGCGGCACGCCAGTGTAGGCCTCGAAGGCGCCGTCGGTGTGGTAAAGGTAACACACACCGCGATGAGCGCGAATGTACCGCTCACCTTCAATGATCCAGATGAGGCCCACGTAGTCCCGTACAAAGATATCGCTCAAACGAACGCGATGTACATTGATTGCCGCTGCACCCAGGCAGATCATCTCTTCGGACCACTCGGGCCGTTGCCTGTGAACGTACTGCAGGTGTTTTCTGGCTTGCTGCTGCACGGAGCCACTTGTCAGATCACCAGCCATCACAGGAGGCACTTCTTCCAAGGACTTGTGAAAGGCCTTGATCGTCATTTCGAATAAAGAATCGAAAGCATGCGCGGTCGTGGACGCGCCCGGCATTAGTCGTCTTTTCTTGGCGTTTTCCAAAGCAGGTTCAGAAAGGACAGGAATCGCCAATTGCTGATCGGTTTCTTGATTGTCTTCTTCATCTTGCAGACTCGGTTGACCAAGTCGAGCTTCCTCCACCACTGCTGCATCCTCAAGGGCAGGCAATGGGTGACCTTCAGCGTCC